CACAGCCCCCGCAGCTTCCTCTCCCCGGGACGGCATCCAGCACTGGCTGCGTTAGCACTGGAGCAGGGATGGAGGGGCCAGGGGCTCCCTGCCTGCCCTCTCCCCCCTGCCCCATTATCCAGTCCCTGCTTGCCGGAGCCTGCCTGCCTGTCTGCTGCCTCCCCACCGCCTTCCACTGCCTGGCCCCTGCGAGCGCTGGAGGAAACCAAGACAGAGCCTAATTAATCCCAGACGGGTTTGTTTGAACCTGTCGGAGTGACAAATGATGTGCGGTGCCGCAGGAGCCGCCGGACTGAGAAGAGGGGGCTGCAAGGAGAGAGCCAGGTCCTGCCTGCACCATGGAGCTGCCTGCCTGGATGAGGAGGCTGTTAATTCCTGGTCATGCTGGAGCAAGGCTTGGCCGTGCACCCAACGCAGTTCCCTTCCCAGGGTCCCCAAACCCAGGAGGGAGCAGTGAGGCTGTGCCTGGGGCTGGTTCCTATCCAGGCCCAGGTGATGTGCAAGGAAACCCCCATCTCGGCCCTGGGCTGCCCCAGGTGGGACCAGCTGCTGCCCGGCTTTGCCCTGAAATAATTGTTAATTAACAGGGCAGGAGCACAGCTCAGCCCCATGCCATGTCCCCATGGTGCCTGGGAGGATGAGGAGATCTCTGCCCTCCCACAGTCATAACAGAGCCATGTGGGAGGGAGGATCCATCTCCCTCTCCTGTCACTCGCCTTGGCACCAGTAATGTTTTCTAGCTTCTGCCAAAAATGTGCAAAGTTGGCAAAATCACTGCTGGGCTGTGCTGGACAAAGGCCAGGGCCAGGGCAGCTGTGGCCAGCAGGGCCCCAGGAGCAGCAGGACCCCTGACCAGCATCCCTGCTCAGAGCTCAAACCTTCTGTGCCCCTGGGCTGCTCCCCAACTCTAGCCAGGGACTCCTGGGGCTGTCCCGTGCTGTGGCTTCATCCTGCAGCCTCTTGCTGGAGACCCCAAGGCAGTCCCTGTCTGGCTCTGAGCTCCTGAGGGCTGTGTGGGGCAGTGGGTGAGTGGCAGCAGCCTCCAGGGGGTCCCAGAGGTCACAAGGCTGAGGCAAGGCTGCTCCAAGCCTTTGGCAGGCCCATGGTGGCCATGGTGAGGTCTGGCTTTCCAGCCCACAAGCTGCTGTGGGGTTGGGTCCTCCCTGATGGCTGCTTTCTGCACCTTGATTCATCCTGCAGCATGCCCTGACACATCCCACATCCATGCCCCAACACATTCTGCATCCTCCCAACAGTTAAGGATGTGCTGATGAATCCCTGCTGGAAATGGCTGCAGGAGGGATGTGGAGCCCAGCAGTGCCTGAGCTGCTCTTTGCATGGGGTCAGGCAATGCTGGGCATTGCACAGCCCTCCAGGCTGGCAGGAGGAATGGAGGCAGGGAGGGATGGAGGCGAGGGATGCTGGCAGCAGAGCACAGGGCTGGGGATGCTGGCCATGGCCAATGGGGATGTGCTGCTGAGTGCAGGCAGCCTGTGGTCCTGCCCTGTCCCAGCACAGCTGCACAGGACAGGGTCTGGATCCTCTCCCCAGGTGCCTCACTTGATTTAAGACCCCCAGCCCTGGGAAGGAGAGGTTGGAGAGGGGTTTCACATCATGTCCAGCCAGGGAATGAGGTGGCAGTGCCTGCAGTCAGGGTGCACTTACACCCCAGCTGGCTCCTCCTGCCCTGCTGCTGGCAGTGCCCTGCCTTCATGCAGGTGTTGGGATGCAAATCCCTGCAGAGGGACACTGTGCTTTCCATCATCTTGTGAGCAGAGTGGGTGGTGGGACAGAGAGAACCTCTCGGATGACTTGGAAGCCACCTCCTGTGTTGGCTTCCCAAAGCAGATGGAGGTGGGGGTGCTTGTCAGTTTTGGGTGGAATGGGTCCCTCCTCTAAGCACTCTGTGCTGTGTCCAGCCCTCGCAGCCTGCTAAGCTTGGTATTTAAATCAAGATTTACAATGAGATTTAGTACAAATCAAATTATTCCATTCAAAAGATGTTTATACCATGGATTTATGTTGGAGAAATCTCACTGCCACCCCATCCCCCATCTCTGTAACCACCTCCCAAGAGGCACACAAAAGGGGCAGGACCTGTCCAAGACCTTGGCTCTGAAACCCATTAAGGAGTGAAGATGGGCCATGGAAACTCTCTCACGGAGAAGCAGGGTAGGTTTGCACCTTATAAATAGCAGGGGGCCCGAGCTCTGGAGAAGCCCCTTGTTCCCCTGAAAAAGGCATCCCCAGCCTGGGTACCTGGAGGGTAAAACCAGATGTTGCAAATATTTCAACACTGTGACAGGACTTCAAACTCAGCAATGGCTTCGTTTTCTTCCACAGCCCTTTGCTCCAGGCTGGGGACCTCCTCCTGGGGGACACTGTCATGAAGGGGACAGGTATGACACATTGGGACCCCCATGGACAGGGAGGTGGCAAAGGTGCTGCTGGTGGTGCTCTGGCTGCAGTCAGGCTCCTGCTGGAATGATGGGAACCTCATGGAAGGTCAGATTTGGGGTGGCCGAAAGCCTCCTGAGACCCCATGTGGTGTCACTAACAGTTCTGTGTGCTGGGAAAGGACTACAGCCACGAGAGCCCCACTGGAGAGCCATGTCCCTTTGCATCACCCCTGCAGCTGCTGGGATGTGACCTTGGCTCTGCAGCTCTGACACTGCTGCATCCATCGTGGGACCTGTGACCAGAGGGGAATGATGCCTAGGAGGGGGGGACAGTGCAAGTCCTTGAATAAGAGCCATGCAAAATATTTGTTCTAATGCCTCTCGTGATTTTGAAGTGACATATTTACACTTCATGATAAAATAATGAAAATAATGATAAATTCTGGTGTCTGAAAAAGGTCGGTGTATTTATGTTACATGTTCATCTACCCTGTGACTACAAAGCTGATAGAAATCTTTTTGTTGGAGATCTACATTTTCCTGTTAAGATTCATGTTTTGAAGACACAAATGTATAGAATGTCTCCTATACATGCAAAGACTTTTATATATAACATATTTACAACGCCTATGACTGTAAACACGAATCTCCCATTTAAATGTCACAGCCCAAATCAGAAAATGCTGGGGATGCAAAAGAGACTTGAAATGTCAAAGGACAGATGACGAAAAGATGTTTCTTCCATCTGGGAAAATTCTTCTAACCAATTTCCATTAATCCCAGCTTTCCGGTGCCCGTAGTTAACCCAGTTCTGCTAGTGGTACTTTTTCAGAGAGACGTGGTGATGGGCAGCTGGATCCCTCCAGCCTCACAAATCTCCTGGGCTGGTGCCCCCTTAGCATC